TCCAGACCTTCGGAGACATGTTGACAGCATGTGTCATCGACTTCGGTAAGTCGTGGGACACCCATTTGCCCATGGTTAAGTTCTCATACAACAACTGTTATCATATCAGCATCAAAGTTGCGCCGTTTGAAGCCCTTTATGGCCGTAATTTCATTTCCCCTCTGTGCTGGGCTGAGGTGGGCAACACGCATCTAGCCAAGGGACAAGTCCCCGATAGCACTCTCACTGGTCCAAAGATCATCCGCGAAACTACAGAAAAGCTACAATTAGGCAGGCATGTCTGGGGTGACAAATTTGTAACATACGACGCCTGAAGAAACGTCGCGGAGATCATCGGTCACATTAGCATGGCTATACGGACTCACAATAGTATAAACTAACCTTTGTTTACGGGATTATCGTTCTTCAATAGTTTTATTTTAATTAATAAGACAACCTACATACTACACTGGAGGGTAATCCAGGGATACATCATTTGGTTTTATTTTAAGTAATAATAAGACTACTTTGCGTACTAGTGATAACCAGGGTTTACAAACAAGAACATGCATACTGGTGGTTGCCAAGGTTTTCATACGGGTCATACTATTCATACCGAAATCAACAAATATGATAGAAAGTATCGTAATTTCTAGAAAAGCAAACAAACATTTATACAAATTCAGTGACTAGTTTTCAATTCAAAAACATGCTTATGAACTCACCAGCTTTATGATGATATATTTTCAAAATCACTTGTATTCTCAGGACAACAATAGACAGGTACTCTTGCTAGTTTTTGGAGAAGATGTAGCATTTTGGAGTCTCATCTTTTACTTTTTTCCATATACTAATGTATACAAACTATGTTTTTCAAACAAATGCAATAATTCATATGCAATGTAATGGTTGTGTTTACTTTGATTACTATGATGCAATTGTTGTGATACTACGCATGATGTCATCCACCTCCGGACGTTTCCGCCGTCTATTTTTACGGTTCGGGGGTGTGACAATATATGGGACCCCCACCTTCATTTTAACCTTCATGACCGAAAACTCTCTCCTTTTCTCTCTCAACTGTTGACCGTAAACACCTTCATTTTAACCTTCTTAGCCAAAAAATCTCTCCTTCTCTCTCTCTACTGTTGACCGTAAACACCAAAAACACCCTTTTTCTTCTAAAAAATCATCAAGAATCGTCGTTGGGAGTTGATTTGGAGCATCTAGAACATGTTTTTCATCGAACCCAACATCCTTGTTCGTGAGTGTACGGTCGTACACCCTTCAAATCTGCAAATTTTCATTGACTGTAAACCAATTCACGACCGTACACACTTCAAACCTTCAAAGGCCGTAAATCCTTCAAGAGGAAGTTCACGACCGTAAGCAGTTCACGGCCGTAAACTCCCTTCACGGCCATAAACACTTCCTAAGTGGTGAAAACCCCGTTTTCCTCGATTCAATCAAGTCTTGGTAACATTCCTTAACTGAAAGCAAGTGTTTTCTAACATTTGATTTAACAAGATCGCTAATTTAGATACATATATGTATTTAATTGTTATTAGGATTCCGTTAAGTGCCACATACAACAACTCGACGGTCTTCATTTCCAGTTTGTTGATTCGACGCTTGCAAACAACTAACATTGAGTTCATACCCCTACACTTTTATGATTTTTAACATTTTCAGGGGGGTACAAGCCTAACACAAACGATTTTGTGAACTAAAACAAAAGGATTTCAACAAGTTTAAAACTTATGCAATTGATTCAGTCCAACGATTTCTATGAAATATATAGATATTTTATCCCTTTTGTATATACGGAGCATAAGGGGCACTTTCAACTAGAAAACATAATTGCATAGTTTCTGGAACAATGCACAAACCAAGTACAATACATTTCAGGCAAGCTATAATAGGTATAGTTTGGGGAGTTTATCATATAGTTTTTACCAATCCAGATTTCATACATGGGTAATCATATAAACTATGAAAGCTTTAGTTTATGATATTCAATTACTACATTCGGACAACAAGAGTATAACACTAAATAATTATTTAAGTATAATTAGTAATACTCTACCAATTATACAATGGTTTCAGTTATGATAAAATGATACATAACTATACGTAAGCTAGTCAATACAAGATTGTGAGACATCCCTTCAATTGTACCCTTCTGGGTACTAGTAAAATCCTCAACATTTAGTATAACCAGAGTCTCATGGAAGGAGACGGTGAGATTTGTGAATAGATCAATTCGAGACTGACAATCCCACACCTAAACTGCTAGCTACAGTTAGGTAGACATGCCTGGGGTGACAAATATCATACCGTACGACACCTAAAAAAACGTCGTTGAGATCACTAGTCATATCAAACATGCTTATACGAACTCACAATAGTATAAAATAACCTTTGTTTACGGGATTTCATTCTTCATTAGTTTTATTTTAATTAATAGAACTATCATACACTACATACTGGTGGTAGCCAGGGTTTTCAAATAGAACATACTATACATATTGGTGGTAGCAAGGGTTTTCAAACAGAACATACACTACATACTGGTGGTAGCCAGGGTTTTCAAACAGAACATATTATATATACTGGTGGTAGCCAGGGTTTTCAAATAGAACATACACTACATACTGGTGGTAGCTAGGGTTTTCAAATAGAACATATTATGCATACTGGTGGTAGCCAGGGTTTTCAAACAGAACATACTATACCTACTGGTGGTATCCAGGGTTTTCAATCATAACTTACATGTTAGAAAATATCGGATTTTCTTGGGAAACATGCATATATTTTTTAGAATTCAATGACTGGTTTCATTACAAAAACATTCTTATGAACTCACCAGCTTTATGCTGATACTCTTTCAAAATCGCTTGTATTCTCAGGAAATCAGTAGACAGGTACTCTCACCGGCTTTCAGAAGACGGAGCGTTCAGAGTCTTGTCTTTATAGTTTTGCTTCTTTTGATGTATACAAACAACAAACCAATCAGATGTAAATATTCATATCTTAATGTAATGGTTTTGTTTACTTTGATTACTATGATGCAATTGTTGTGATACTACACATGACGTCCTCCACCCCCGAATATTTCATCCGTGTCAGTTTGTAGGTGTGACAAGTTGGGGCGCCCAACTCATCGGTTCCCTCCATAAATGAATACAAAGCTTTAATAAATATACCTGGGATTTGGGATGTTACCTTTCTTGACGGGCTCGTTGATGGTACTTCTCTATCAAGTTCTTGCACATCTCATAAGGCCAGTAATCCTCATAGAAACTTTGCATTTCAGGAGTCATAGTAGCCACCATGAAGCATGACACTTTGGTAGCATCATTGCAATGTCTCATATATTCAGCAATTTCTTCGGGAGTAGGTTTAGTTTCATCAATCTCGTTTAGCTCCTTTTTGAGAATGTATTACCTGTCCTTAAAGCACAAGGCCATTATGATGTTATAGATCCAATCATTAAAATTGGAACCATCAAAGGTGATCTTCGAGCAGATGCTCAAGAGCGAGAAGTGGTTGGAGTTGTTGTTGGAGGAGTCAGAAGCATTGTTGAAGTTGACATCTGAAAAACAAGAAGGATAAGTTTTGATTATATAAGAAAATCCTCAATATAACACCCAAATGAAATATGGAGGCTAGGACCCAACTAAATAATTCATAATTCAGAAAAAGGATGTCGTAATCCAGTTATAAATTATTTAAAGGTAGGTAAATGACGAATTACCAATTTCACCACCACGAAAACGAAATTTAAATGAACTAAGTTTTAAATGAAATTCCTAGATCTTTTGAAATTCATTGAACTATTCAATGACATGTTTAATCTCGATTATGCCCTTTCCATTTGTGACTAGGATACCGAGGATCACAAATAATGTGTGAATAACCATGTAAATTAGTTTAGTACTCTCAATGTTATTTATCACCTAATTAATGTGTTGGTTAACCACACACGTTCCATTAATCAATGATAATTTACGAGTTATCCATTGTCACCCTTTATTAGTCCATATTAGTTTGCCGGTTAACCAAACATGCTCCACTAACGACTTTTATAAAGTGCAATGTCCGATTTCATGGATTAACATCAAATTAAAATTTTCCTAAAGTAACTAAGATTTGGGAATTTTATAAAAAAATATTTAGTTACTTTATATATCACTATACTTATTAACGAGAGTTTAGTGTCCTATCAAATCCGTTCGGCTAACGACCCTCCACCAATCAAGGAAGCGGTGGGTGAGAATGGACACTCATTCAGCCGCCATTTTATAGGTAGTTTCCTTATAGCTCCTTATAGATCGGCTTCGTGAATGATACCTACTAACGGTAAGACTGACTTATATATATATATATATATATATATATATATATATATATATATATATATATATATATATATATATATATATATATATATATATATATATATATATATAAGGTTAGGTTCAAATGTTTCTAGTAACTATTGTGTGCCAGAATGCACAGATCTGGACCATCAGATGGAATATAATCAAAGGTAATGATCTGAGGGTCTATGATAGTAGAATAGGATAACATATACCATATAATCACACAAATTTCAGTATAAGGTCATTTTAGTCAATTAACCTATATTAAAAAAGGAAATTTTCGGATTTTTAGGGATAATTAATTCCTTTATTTTTAAAAATCTGAATATTTTAAATTAATTCAAAATTAGAAATTTGATTTTATTCTATCAGAATTGTAGAATGTTAACCATAAACTAGTAAATATATTCGTCGATTATATTTTGTCAGAATGACAGAATGCCAACCATAAACTAGTAAAACATTCTAAAAAGAATACACAAAATTAATTCTTGAACTAATAATATCCAAATAATTACATTGTATGATTATGATTCAATGAATAATAACAACATTCTGAAAGAAAAAAGAAAAAAAAATCACAATCTAACAAAAACACTAATCTATTCTAATAGAATATTATTTTTTAGCAACACTTTATACATTGTAGTATAACACATTCTGGTATAATACACTTTCGTTCTCTATGTTTTCTTCCTTCTCCACATCAATGTTAGCCTTTTCAAAACCTAAATCCACAAAGAAAACATAATCAAGTTTCAAAAATTAAAAAATTCAATGCATTCTAAAAAAATAAAAACTATAAATTCTGACAGAATGTACTTGTTGTTGACAATTATTCTCAAACATTCTAACAGAATACATCTATATAAAATAAATTCTAATAGAATACATTACATTCGTTACCAATCAAGAACACAAGAAACAAACACCCATGAATCGTCAGTTGAATCGTCAACACACATCTGCATTCGTTACCAGTCAAGAACACAAGAAACAAACACCCATGAATTCCCCTGTCAAATACCAAAACCCAAACAAACCATGAGTTATGTTCAAACAATCAAACCTATATCCCTTTCATTATCATCAATTTTTCTAGGAAACCCCAAACAAAAATTCTTTCCTTTGATTTCTATCAAGCAATCAAGCAAAAACAAAAAGAAGAAAAAGAATTTTCTTTTACCTGTTGGCACAGTTCACCGGAGAAGAAGAGGCAGCGATCCACGAGCACCATAGAACCACCCTTGTGACTGCTTCCCACCAAGTTCCTCTTCTCGAGCAGACAAAAACAGAGGACCGAAGTCCTTTCTCCCCCTTCGTGAGTGGATACCGATCGAACCAGAAAAGAAAAGAGATCGCCGACGTAGCCCTTCCTGTCGGCTATCCCACCCTCGGCGGAGCTGCTTCGTCAACTCCACCTCGGTTTGCATCCTTAACTTGGTTTCTTCCCCGATCAACTGCAGACAAAGACCTCGACTTCTTCACAACCTTTTCCCTTTGGCCTCGTCGACATAACTAGGTTGATGGTGATGGTGTTGATGTCGATGATGAAGTGTTCAGCCACAAACATAACTAGGTCAAATATATTTAGTTTAATTCCTTAATTGAATGATTGGTTTATTTCCTTAATTGAATGATTTCAATTAAATAATTTCCTTAAATAAAAGTACAAAAGGTCCAAAATACCCTTTAATGATTTAGTTAATTATTTATTATTTCTTGAATTCTCATTGGTGTATTTATGCACACAATAGTTGCTAAAAACATTTGAACCTAACTCTATCTCTCTCTCTCTCTCTCTCTCTCTCTCTATATATATATATATATATATATATATATATATATAGTAACTTTTAATTTAACAATATATAAGGGAGTATTTTGAACTTTTAAAATACTAGGGCTCTTAAATTTAAAATTTTCAAAATTAAATTATTTAATTTAAATTTTAAATTTCGAAACAAATGATGTATTTTTAAAACTTTTCAAAAATACTAGGTTAAACTTTTAATAATTAAAGTATCAAATTAGTTTTATCTTTATAAAATTTTTTAACCCAATCATAAATTCATGATAAGGATACAAAATTATTGATTTTAATATCCAATTTTAAACAGTTAAAACGAATTTAAGGTAATTATCCTAATCAATCCATGAGACAATTATCAAAACCAAAAATATTGGATCTAACAGTGCAACTCGTCGAGTTGGGCAGTTACTACGTAGAGTTGCATGTCAACTCGTCGAGTTCAGAGATCAACTCGACGAGTTCAATGAACAGAATGTCGATTTTGTTCCCTTCTTCTTTAAACAATTCGCAATTGCATCATATACAATAGAAAACTAATCCTAGGCTCTGATCCAACTTATGGGTTTTGAGCATAACAACAATTCTTATGTGTGCATGCAACCCTAATGCTTTGGATCTAGGTTTACTCTAATTGAACATGCAAACTTGAACACAAAAGGAGAAACCCTAGAAAGTAACTACAATTTTCGAAATGTATATAAAACTAGGGTTTTGTTACATACATTGATTAGTATGTTGTAATAACAATGATTCCCCTGTAGATCTTGAAGCTTGAGAACTTAGTATCACAAATGTAACACCCTTAATAACTCACAAACACACAATGCAAGAGAATGATATGAGAGAGGAAGAGGAGATCAAAATTTCAATCCTTGCTTCTTTTTAAGAGTGACCAAAATTCCAAGGGTTTAGAACTCTTTTTATAGTACACCAAAGATGCTATGGATAGCCCTAATCTCAATTATAGTAATTATCTACCACCTTTGATTATCCACATATGATAAGATATTCTAGTAATTCTAGAATAATCTTACATACACCATGAAATTTCTTCCACCACCTTCCTTAGCAAGGTTCTAAACTCTTTTGCTCAACTATTGAACAATTGTACTTTTAGTCCCTGCACTTTTAATTAATTTATTTAATCCTAAAATTAATTCCAAATTAATTTTTGATTAAATATTAATTAATAATATAATTACTAATTAATATATTATTTCCATAACATATTAATAATTCATTTATTCCAATTTATTAATCAAATTAATAAATTCTTCATCTACCTCAATTAAACATCTTGTCTAGTTGTAAGTATAAAGTCAACCCAAAAGAATCATACCATTATCAATTCAAGTATATACCAATTATAGTTATGAGCTTAAACACCTAATCTAATAGCATCATCACTTTATCACGAATTAGGCATGTTACACTCAAGAATTTTTGATCTTAAACCTTTAGTTGTAGATCATAATAACCTTATTTCGCTTTGTAATTGAGATGTTTTCTTAATTTTACGATTTGCATCAAAAACATTTATAGTTCATGTTTAAAGTTGGCTCCATATCGACATCTTAATCGACAACAAGTAATAATGCATATTCTAAGCCCAATAGCTTATAAGTAAATTTGAATATTAGTTCATATTGATAGGATCTTATATTGATAGGATCTTCCAATCCTATGATCACAATCTTACAATACATAAAACGATCTTAAGTAAGATATTGATCTTGACAACCTGGAGCATTTGGCAGTAAAGACCCACTGGAGCCAACTCCCACACTAACTCTTTAAGCTAACAATTCATCTTTGCTTATTTTTCTGTCTTGTTCCTTTGACTTCATCTTCCCAAAAGAATTGTCCCTGACGATAAAGAGCAAGTTCTTCGATATCAGCACTAACAAATATGTTTATAGCTTATGTTGATATAAATAATTACATATCAATTTGTTTCATAAAAACATCAAAAAGGGGCTTTGACAACTTACTCGACACAGAACTTACTCCTTTTATGTTTCTTTTCCTTCTCCTTGGTCTTGTTGGGGGTTCTCAGTTTCCATTTCATATTCCTCCTCTTTTTCTTATTTCCAATAGCATCCCTACTAAATGAGAATGTGAGTTGTGATAAGCTATATATGAATGTTTAATAAATGAAAATACAACTTGATCATAAGTGTTGGAAAATGCGTTTCTCTGTTTAGTCCAACCGTTTTACAAATTTGTCCTTCTTTACTTTTTCTTACCATTTCCCTAAATTTGCCATCTTTCCCACGTATTTTGTTAAAGATCTTTATCCGAACAACATTTATATGGACAACATGGGAAAAAGAAAGAAGAATTTGTATCTCATTTTATCCAAACAACTTCATAATCTGCCCAAAAAAGAGCAACATCAACTAGAAAGGCATTTGACAGAATCACTTCGACCCTTTTTATGGTATTTACTTTCTGTCAAAACCAAATATATGGATGATCAAGAAATTGAACTAAATACCTTTTCTCTTCTAGGAATCTACCAAACACTGAAAACAATTTCAAAGCACTGGATTTCTCTCGATCTTCATCAGAACTGTGGGGCTGCTGCTGCCTATTTATGTACTTCTTGTGATTCCCAAAACTAGAATCTTGATTATCATCCTTTCTGCTCTCGCATAATTCAAACAAAATTTTAGATAGAAAAGGTGCATTTTTGGCTCATTATAACTGCAGACCAAGAACTGAAGCTTAGGGTGAAGAGATGAAAAAACATACCCAATTTCTTTGTCTATGTAACATTTTAGAGAATCTTTCCCACCTTTTATGTTTTTATCACAATGATTAATGTCTGTCATTTGACCTGTGATTGAATCTTTAGTGGGATCTGACAAATTTTGAATGCAAAAGACACGAGATATAAATACAAAAGGACATCAGACACACATGCAAACACAAATCTTTCCTTTCTTTCTCACCCCTGAACAGAAGGTACAATTAAGTAGGCAAGAAACATACCTGTCTTGTTAGAATCAAGTTCATGATCGTCATTACAACCAGCATTCTCCATGGGCGCTTTCTCTTTCCCTTCATGGCAACTAAAATAGAGTTGTCAATAACATATTAGTTGAAAATCCATGTTCTTGGGGTTTCAAGATCAATCTAGCTAAGAAACATACATTCCATGGCGATGAGAAGTGGGAGGAGGAGGACGAGGAACGATCAAATAACCAGCAAGATAAACACCGCGAGGACCCATGACGGAGAAGATGACACTGTGGGGCTCCTCGAACTCAAGATCTAGTTGACAACAAGTCATCTCTTTTACAGACAATGAACATATAGCGATTGCAGGTTTATCCCCTATCGAACATCTTACTATGCTCCTCGCTGGTGAATTACGTGTAGCATCTCCGAGTGTAGCCTGTTGACCGGTGAATGAGACTATCGTATTCAAACCCAAACCCAAACCCACGAGAGAAAAACAAAAGCATATTGGGAATGAGATTCTAACCTGAGTAATGCGAAGTCTCTTCGGAACAGCAGCATCATCATAGTGTAGAAGGGTTCATTGGGCTTGAGATAAACCCCTTCTCAATTTTGTCAAGAGAACGACGAGTATAAACGATTAGTGATATTGGTGCATCGAAATTATAACGATTTAAGAGAGGATAAGATTGAAAATAAGAAGATAACATACCCCAGAATGCCATTTGAGTGGTTGAGTGCGGAATCGGTTTCTGGGAAAGAATTTGAAACGAGTGTTTTTTTGGCGGGAAGAGAAAGAAATGATATGTCCAACCCTTACTCTCACTGTTTAATGTTTTGTCTCAATGCCCTCGGGAACTCGCAACAAATCAAATCCAAGAAAGGGAAGAAACAGCAAGTGTTGAAAGGCGTACGGATTGATGGGCAAAGGGGAAGGTCGGAAGGATGTCAGAACCCAGATGAATGGGGCGCCCTGCACATATGATACCCTATTAATTGGGGAGTTGAGTATAAGGTTAAATTACCTTTGTTGTTAAAAGTTCAAACCTATTGCCTATTGGCGAGATTATTGCGTAATACTTGCTATGTACATATTGTGCTTATTAGTACAACTATATCTTTTTCTTACCTGTGTATATCATTTCCTTGGTTAGATGAGATCAATGGGATAAATGAGAAAAGGCACAAGTAACTCTCCCGTGGACGACGTGGTAACGTCAAACTTAGAAGATTGGAAGAAGACCACCATTTATTGTTAGGCTTAACTAGAACGGTGCAATTCTTGCATCCATTTTGCCTCCCAAACATGCTATTAAATCATCGTAACGAGTTCAACGAGAGAATTAAATGAAGTGACAAATTTAATTGTTATTTAGAACGGTGGTGGTACCACACCTTACTATCCTTTTGGTTTGTCACCTTAATGTCAAGTCATTTTTGCTTACACTCCTTATTGGATTTCATAGCATCTTTTATTTTTCTAAGTTATCTTGTGGGTTTATCTTATCCATATTTAGTAGAGTTTGATATAGTATTGTGGGTCTATTTATTTTCCTTTTGTATGTACGTTTTGATTGTTAAGAATATACACATAAAACTTTTTATCTCCTTTGTTCCTCCATAATTTTAGATGGTATCAGAGCGGGTTTCACAACC